ATTCTGTGTTTTTCTGTCAATATGGGGTGCTGTGTGTACATTAATGAGGAAAAAATGAACTTAAATGATTTTAGCATATGGCTGCAATATAACAAAGAGTGAAAAATTTAAGGGGGTCTGAATACTTTCCATATCCACTGTATTCCACAAACAACAGGAGGATATTTAACTATTAACGAACATCCTTGTGTATCATGTTTTTATTTTAAAAATGATTGTTATTTAAGTAAACTACATTTTGGCACCCAGTAATGGAGACAACTTAAAGCTACTCGACTTTTTTTCAGCCACTAGAGGTTTTAGTAAGACTCATAAGAAACTAACACTAAGTCATTCCTATCTGCTCTTTACCCCGCCGTTCACGTCCTGTTTCATAGTGATGACGTAAACTATGGATGCCTGGTTGCAACAAACTGCACAAAATGCAGCCTCCAGTCTGAAGCAAGTTTTAGCTGACTGAGTATATTTGTCAGTCTAGTAGAATGTACTACTAATGTCACACAAACTTTGACATGACATAATTAATGACAAAATTAAAGTCATGTTAATTCAATACAAAACTAAAGTGACAATCATGCGAGGCCGCTAATGTTGCCAAAACAAACACATTATCTTTAGATGCTAACACATCGAGAAGGAAGAATGCCACACCCGAATCAAATTATGAATCCTTTGGCAGCTTTTATCACAAACGGTTATTGGCAGTACAATCACAGGTAGCTGTAGAACATTAAGGATGGTGTTTTGATTAGCTGTTTCCTGTCTTGATCTGATTTTCTTAGGATTACAGCTATTTCCTGGCACCTTCACATCAATGTATGTTTGTGTGTCTGTTTTCAGATGGAGCGTGATGACATACGAGGTGCCCACCACTAATAAGCACACCCCGATAGTGAAGGAAGATGACGGCCTTGATTCTCTTCCACAGGTACGTTACACTGCAGAACTTTCTGCTTTTTGACAGATGGTTTCCCTAAATGAGCTCCCACAAATCCAGATCTCACAGTCTTCAATAAATTATTCAGGAAAATGTACAATGAGAGTCAATTGAGCCTGGCAGCTTGAAGTCAAAGCAGTCAGATCTCCACCTCATGGAGTAGTGTAGATGTTGACAAAGGGCAGCTTTATACTTTGAATTTAAGCTGCCTCCCAATTATCAAAAAATGTCCAAGATATGCCATCACGTTTTCAATTTTAAAACTTTAAGCAATGCCTGGGAACAGATCACCAACTTGCAGAGGTTTCTGTAGGCCATTCTAAGCAAATAGTCCCCAAAACAGGCCTCCAACATTTTCTGTTATGCTTCTGAAGTCTCTCTCCCTCTTTCTCAGGTCCACATCACTCAGTATGCAGACTCTGTGGCTTCCCACCTAGCCAAGATCCTGGACTCGGACAAACACAGTGATGTCATTTCCTCTGCCAAGTATGTGGCATAAATACATTCAAAACAGGGAAAGTGTCAACTGTAAGGGAGGGGAAATGGATGAAGGATGAGAATAAAGATTGGAGGATGAAAGCTGGAGAAAAGTGAATAGAGAGAGTTAATAGAGAAGAGAGATGATAGAGAAAAGGCAGATAAACAGGCAAGTGATTATCTGGTCAGTGGGTATAGATTTTTTTTTCTTTGCTTTAGTCTCATCCCTAAGGGGAGACACAAACAGGCAGGGGACAGTAAGTGCTGGCTGGCTGTAAGTGAAAGAGATAGATGAGTCAGTATTTAGGGGTCATCCTCAGTGCACTAGTACATTAGTATTCTTCCTTTGGGAAATGTCTAGCAGCAATTATGGAGCACTTTTCTCCACCACTCTGTGTGTGATTTAAACTGCTGCTGATTGTGGTGGAGATCATGGAGCGGAGCACATTCAAAACACCTGAAGGACACTCCAAGTATGCTTTCTTGGAATCGTGACACCTTTGGTGTCTGCTGTTTTGTAGTCTCACACTGGAGTTTTACAGGGTTGGTTAACAAACGGATCAGGAGAAACAACTAGAAATCATTTCAGTTGTGTAGAAACAATTTTATTTTGGGATTACACTGTCTTAAAGGTGAATTAACTAATTTCTTTTCGGCCACTAGAGGTTCTATTGAGATGTAAAACAAACTGACATCTTGTTTCCTAGCAGTGACATAAATTACAGATGCCTGGTTGGGACAAACTGTACAAAATGCAGCCACTAGTTCGACTCAGAAGCTACCATTGGCTGGCTAACGAGTCTCACCTTTGTGGTAGCATTTCGGTGGCGCAGTAACAAGTGACGATGTTGACAAGACAGCCCTGAACAGGACCAACAAAGCATTATGTTACAAAAAGCTTAAATTTTACCAAAACTAAAACCAATGGGCTAATGTCCGGACCACCTGTTAAAACAATGGGTGGAGAAGACGGAATAACAACACTAGGGATATAGGACGTAGACTGTCACGGAGGGAGTAGTATAGATGAGAGAAACCATGTCCTGTCCTAGTTTCACTTTATGCATTGAACAATGTGCAAATTCTTAGTTAATGCACCTTTAAAGATAGATGTCTGTCCTGTTTGATAGAGGGGTTTTGACTTAACACTGCTTTGTCATTGGATGTGTTTGATTAGAGGACAAAAGATCTGGTTTTGCTTTGTATTGTTATATAGAAGAGAAAAATGACAGCCGGAAGGTGATTCTAAAGAAGCAGACATCGACTGTGCTGCTGGGAAAAAGTATTTAAAAAGTAACCACACATCACTGTGCTTGGATATACTATAAATTGGCTCTAAATGTCAGGAGATGGTGAAGAAACTCTTAAACAACCCTTATAGCAACCCTACAGAGAAATGATGATGTATAACAAACAGAAGAGGAACAGACAAATGATGTAAGGGGTCTGTAAAAACCAGGAGGCCTCTGGGTAGAATACAGTTAGACAGAAACAGACTTTTCAAAAGTGCTTTATTGTCCTTGACAGCAGTCTGTTTTTCAGTTTCTATACAATATAAAGTCTTAGAAATCCCTTAATAAGGAATAACAGTCATAAATCAGAGGCCTGAGCTTTGTTCAGTCATACACCCCCCTGTTTACGATGTTCAGTGATTATCCATTTAACATACGTGCATACATGTCAGGAATCCATGATATTCTTGGCAGCTGTAAAACCAGAAAATAACATTTTACAATGTATTGACTTAAAACAAATATGAGAATCACGCAATATATGCTAAACAAAATGTTTGCTAAAGTCCAAAAAAGTGATGACACCTGGACATGTATGTAGAAAAGTCCTTGGGGATGCAACGTACATACAAATGTAGCTGGTCTGTGGCGTGTGCTCTGTGGAAAACTAATAAGGTAGTGTGCCAGGTTTTTAGATGTTTTATTAAGAATGTTTTTGTGATGCAGGGCACTGAAAATCTTGATTTTTGTTGCCCAGTGCGTTGTGCTCCAGTCAGAAGTGATATTTGCATGTTTTCAGAGACACCACTGTAAATTGGCAGCCAAAAGAAAATGGTCCTTTTAAACCATACTCTGCCACCTGCAGCTGTTAAGCAAAAACCCATTATTCATTGACACTTGTCTTTTCCTCCCTCCAAACTGAAGGGACATTTGCATGGTATTTAAAAGCAGTTTGCAAACACACCACATTGCACACTGCTTTTCAAAAACAAGCGTTAATTTCCAGATATCTCATTTGCAAATAAAACCTGTTGGGCTGCACCTGGTGAGAGCTGCACAGGAGGACAAGGCTTTTATAAAGGAGGCACAAGCAGTATTCATTTTACAGGATCCAATATTTGCTAAATGCACGAGGACTGTGTATTTAGGGAAACCTCCCTGCTGACTCATACAGCAGCAATGTAACAGCTGTGAATAAACAGTGACTGTGTGTAGGTGACAGGCAGGTAGGCGGCACTGCAGAGCATGTGTGTGTGATCTCCAAACACAGACACACTGCGCAGTGAATCGCCTAACCCGTTAACCCTATAAGTTGTTTAATTTTCACTGTTAGTCGTGCTAATATTCACCCTCTCCCTCTGTCTTTCTCCCTCTTTGTGCCCTCTCCACTTTTCTGTCAGGTTTCTGTGTGGAACGGTAAATGATTTTGTGGCGGAGGTGGGGAAGGCGTATGAGAGAGCCACAGAAAACAAGGAGGAGGCGGATGCTATGGCAAAGAAGGTAAATAGTACTTTGTGTGTCATCGTGTGTATTACATAAAAGCTTGTATAACGGTGGGTAAGTGTAGGAGGGGGTGTGTGTCTGTATAATATAAAGAGCAAGACTGAAATAGTTGTATTGCAAGTTCAGTGTCACCACTCCTTCTTCCACTCTTCTGTGCCTTTGGCAGTTCACATTTTCTGTCTGCCCAGTTATTTGAGTCTACATAAGAGTCTCAAAGATCCATTGAAGCTGGAAGGCTGAACACGAGTGTTAAACGGGTGGATACGCTTTGTAACAGAGCTGGAGAAAGTGGGTTCAAGTTTCTCCTCTGGCTTAAATTATGCCATTCCATTTCATAGCCCTTTAAGATCTTAGATGCTTTTGTACAGTTTTCATTCTCTTTATTTGCAGACTTATGGGGTACCCTTTAGTTCCTCGTTTACACACGGGGCGAACATGATCTGGATACATTGTCTACATAATGACATCCAATTCACAGGCCTACTATTTAACTTCTGCACTACTTTTGTAAAGCTGGTGGTCTTAGGCTTCTGTGAATACATCCCATGGGCTTTAGAATCTTGTACTGAGTTTTTTTTTTTCTGCTGCTTCCTGATGTCTTGTTGACCAAACTGAATTGATTGGAAAAAAATAAGTATTGATTTTGTGCTATCTGACTACAACTAAAACAGTAAAGAAAACAAATATTTAACTTGCCCCCGACATTTGATGGACTTGAGCTTGAGTCAGTTGTTAGTTGAGTTTAAATACCTTAAAACTGTCTTCAACTTATGAACAACTTGAACACTGGTTTGTATAATAGGTCTGTCTTTTTACTTGTCACATGAGCAGTCTTCAAGTTTTTACAGTATCAGAAAAAATCCTTTTGTGGCTCCAACTTGTTTGTAGTTTCAGTAGTTAGCTACACAAAATGGCAAAACAGTAATTTAACTCCTTGAATCACTATAAAAATATGAATGTAGTTGAATCACCACCAAGCTACTGCAAAATGTAGTTAAACTACTAGTTTAATTACATGTAATTCACTGCTCCCCAATGCTGCTGTTTGACACTGGGGATTAAGATGATGGATGTGAAATGGTTTGAGTGTCAGCAGCAGGTCTACATGTCTGGAACTGCTGAGATAGTCACACAGGAAAAGTGTTTTTTTTTTGTTTGTTTGTTTTTTTATTTATTTTAAAGGTATGCGATATTTCCAAAAGGAACAAATCTCTTCACCCAGTGGAGGCGGCTCGAGCCTCTAACCCTCCTATCACAGCACTTTGAACTTATCGATCTTTCTCCAAATAATGTGATGCTTATTGATGCCTAGCGGGAAGTTCATATGTTGCTTCAGCAAATAAAAGGCCTCTGTGCTGAATAAGAGCAGGCATTGATTTCACAATGGTTTCAGGTAAATAATGCAGTCAGAAGAGAATGTAAGTTGTGGCCTTTATTGATGTGTAACTTTTCTTATTTACACTGCTTGTGGTTTTGAAGTGATCAAGGAAGCAGTACAAACCAAAAACATCTCTTTTCTGTCCCTCTCCTCTTTCAGTGTGCATTGCTGAATGAGAAGCTCGATTCACTTGTCAAGGCCCTAAGTGAGGAAGAAGAGGCCCAGGTAATAACACCACTAATATACTCTGATTAAAGTCACAAAAGAACCCAAAGTCAGAGTACTTCTTTTTCTAGAAGGTCTAAATGGCTTATTGCATTTCTTTACAGTGTTGTCCATGTTTAATATGAAACAGTTTGGTTGAATATTTACTGTTGAATTGTAAGGTATTAGTATATATATCTGGGTGTTGGGACCCCTCCAGAGGTCATGAAATAAATCTGTAGGTTTATCAGATGATTAACAAGTTAGAAAATAAGAAAAACAACATTTGTGCTGCCTAAAAGTAACATTTTTCTAATCTCCGATTTTTCTTTTTTAATACTTTGATCTCTTTTCAAGTATTCCACTTAAACAGTCTCAAGTATTCATGCATGCATACATTTCCCTCCTCTATTTATTCTGATTTATATTATGACTATTAACTTTGTTTTATGAACTTTTGTTAATGATAAATGTTGGTCTATCTGGCTTTTTTTTTTGGTCGGCTCTGTCAAATTCAATGTTTTGATCAGTATGAAATCAAACTGCCAGAATGTAATGATGCTGAAAGGAATAGTTGGGTATTTGGAGAAATATATTTATTCTTATTACGGAGTTAGATGAGAATATCGACTGTACTGTAAAATATGTAGCTGCAGCCAGCAGGTGGTTGGTGTAGCGAAGCCTAAATTGGAAACCTGTACCAGTACCTGTACACCCCATGGGTCAACAGAAGGCCGGAGAAGACCCCCCCGCCCTCGCACGGCGTTTCATAAACGCTGCATGCCAAAATGACCAGACACAAGGACCGTTTCTTCCCCTGTGCCATCACTCTGCTGAACATGTAACTAGGACTCTAACCATGACTCTGATTAATAGTCAACCAGGACTAGTGTAATAACCTGTAGATAGTCCGCCACATGTACCAGTCTGAAATGTATACGGTATTTATGAATACTGCCTCTCCCTCCTCTTCCTCCCTCCTCCTCACCCCTGATTGCTGTACATTGCCTGTTGCCACTGAGAGCCTCTGTGCCGGAGACAAATTCCTTGTATGCACAACATAAACCTGACTCTCTCTCCCAAACTGCTGGGACAAGGTGCCAGGTAGCTGGCGGTGTCTCCAGGAAGTTCCTGGGCGGGGTCTGGCGTGTAACTCAATGTAAAATGTAGTAAAATTGCTTTAAAAAAAATTACATTTTTGTATAGCAAGAAATAAGGTGTAAGGTGTTAATTCATGAGTTTTAGAAGGACTGGTTCATCAAGTGGGATTTGTATTTTTTTAACCTTTGCACCGAGCCTGACTAACCCCACGCTTCCAGTCGTTATGCTAAGCTAAACTCCCTGTCTGGTCTTTTTATTTGGAGAACATCTAACTCTTGTCGACAAAGTCCTTGAACTATTCCTTTAACAACACACAAATGTCAGCTAGTCTTAAGTATTAACCAACTGTTCTTTCTTGGCTTTATATTTATTCTAGGTCATTATCCTTTTTGTCAGTGTATATTTTTGCCGAATGTTAAATGAGTTTTTAAAGTCCCCCTTGATTCAACCTGATCCTTACAGGAGCAGCAGTGAATACAGTGGCTTTACACACATCTTAGGTTTTCTCACAGGAGCTGAAAACCAAACCAGCATAGAGCTTTTTTTGTTTTTCTGCTCCCTATGGAGTCTTTTATTTACAGATTGATGTCTGTGCTTTAAAAGAAATAGCACTACCCTCAAAATGTCAGTCTGATTTCAACCTCGTGCTCAATTAAAAGGGGAAAGACGCAGAATTTTAGCTTTGAAGCCAACCATTTATTTTTTATATTTTGTAAAGATTTTGGTACCTTCAACAGTTCTGTCTGCGAATAAATATTAAATATAGCTTTCCTTTGTCGGAAACATGTGGGAGACTGATGTCACAGCACTGTGAGGCTTCAGGGGAGCAGTAATAAACTATAAATGATGTGTTTTCTGGTTTAATGCTGCTGCTTTGGTTATATAAAAGTGATGTTAAAGGGTGTTCACCGCTCTTAAAATGAAATGTGTTATGGGGAAACCAGGTGACACCAGGAAGTCCACAAAACTGTCATAACTGGAATCTACCTGAATATATTTTTTGTTTTTCATTCATTACTGTGCAGATGTATAATGATGATTCCTTTTTTCTTTTTCCCCCGTCACATCCAGGTGGTTCCAGCAGGTTCAGTGCCCAGCCAGGAGAGCAGAGGCTCGAGCCCCAGTGTAAGTGGTATTGAGTCGGGTTCAGAAGGCAAAACGTACCGGTCCAAGGAGCAGTTGATGCTCAGGGCCAACAGTCTGAAGAAGGCCCTGAGGCAGATCATTGAGCAAGCTGAGAAAGGTCTCGACTCTCCTTGTTTTGTTGGTATCATTTTACGTAAAGTGTCAAAACTCTGCTCTGTTAAGCTCATGACCATTCATCCTTTGCTTCAGTGGTGGACGAGCAGAACCGACACACACAGGTCCAGAGGATGTCATCCTCATCCTCCATTAAAAGGGAAAACAGCGAGGAGCTGAAGGAAGGCGAGCCACGTAAGTGTACCTTTAATGTGAACTCAACAGGGACTGAAGGCACATAGTCCACAATGCTGTTTAGTGCTAGCCAAAGAACTGTTGGAAAATACAGTGAAACTTTTCATTTAATAGTATTTTTATTTTGCTGTATTTTTTTGGCTATGTGTTACATGAGACTTTTCACTTTGACCACATTTCATTTACTTGTCATGTCTCCTTATAGGTCTTGGAAGCTTAAGTCCCGCCTCCCCCATCATCCTGGAGAAGCCAGAGAGCATCCACACAGTCACCTTCAGTGAAGACTCTGTGTAAGTCTCTTCATACACTCCGTCTGTTTACACTGATGTCACTCACATATGCAGTTGCAGCTTAATTATTGCTCCTCCATGAATGCGTTACCGTGCATTAATCCAGAATCCATGTTCTCTGTATCTTTAGACAATGTTCAGAAAAGTGTGTGATGAACAACTACTTTGGCATCGGCCTGGACGCCAAGATCTCTCTGGAATTCAACAACAAGAGAGATGAGCACCCCAAAAAATGCAGGTACCCCCCCTCACAATTATTCTTTGCTAACAAAGTCCTGTTACATCATCGCCTTCTGTCATACAGGAACTCTAACATTTTAGCTTTGTGTATTATATAAACACAAATAGGGTTGAAAAGAGTATAATACTGTAGAAGATACATGTAAGTATGAATAGATTTAAGACACATGAAACAGAAGAATAAAAATGACATCACAGTGGCACTGCTTCCTTCATGACAGCAGCTGAGGCTCATGGATATTTCAGTATTCAGATCCATCTGCTGCGTCTTACTAACAGAGTTGAAAGAACTAGAACTGGTGCTCTTAACAAATATGATCATTTATCTGTGTTTAGTAACATAAAGAAAAAATGAGATATGTAAATACAGAATAAAATCAAACAACTATTTAATATCGTTCTTTGATCAGTGTAACTTTAGTCTAATGAAACAAATGCAACGTTGAATGGTTTCTTCTGCAGTAGTCGCACCAAAAACATGATGTGGTACGGAGTGCTGGGGACGAAAGAGCTGGTCCAGAAGACATACAAGAACCTGGAGCAGAGAGTTCAGCTTGAGGTCTCCATCTCTCACACACACACACACACACACACACACACACACTGAATGTAGCAGCTTCTGTTTTGATAAACACATTTGCTGATAGCTGTTTCCTTCTGACGTCCTGTGTTTTTCTCCTCATTTCACTCTGTCTCTTCTCTAATGTCTTCAGTGTGATGGTGTTCCCATGTCTCTGCCGAGTCTGCAGGGCTTGGCTGTGCTCAACATCCCCAGCTATGCAGGCGGTATCAACTTCTGGGGAGGCACCAAGGAGGACAATGTGAGTGTAGTGAATGTATTAGTGTCCAGGCCTTCATGAATAATTTTGAAGTCAAAGTTTTTCATTTCAGTCAAGTCAGTAAATAAATAAATGGTAAACTTCATTAAACAGTAGTTTCACTTCTGCTGTATATTTTCAAGTGACCAGTTTGAAAGTGCTCATGTTCGATTTCACCTCCCATGTTCAGAACTTTGGTGCTCCATCATTTGACGATAAGAAGTTGGAGGTGGTGGCGGTGTTTGGCAGCATGCAGATGGCCATGTCCAGAGTCATCAACCTGCAGCACCACCGCATTGCACAGGTAACGCACAACCCTAGCATATAATAGACTTCACACTGCAGCACGATGTGGACTGTTCTTAGTAGCATGTGGCTTACAAATTCTTTTTTTAAGTTTGGATTTAAATGTCTCATCTGAGTCAGACTGTTATATTCAGCACACATATTTGGCAAACGGCAAACATTCAGCAACACAGAAGGCACTGTAGCCAGGTGGTTTTCATTTTTAAAGGTGCAGGTTTTAAAGGACCACCTTTAAAGGACCACCTAAAAAAAAACAATGGACAGAGGAGTTCAAGCAAGGAGCAGCTGATTCAAACAAAGAATTCAGCATAGAAGAAGAAAAGTAAAGTCTCATGTGACAGCTGGGGTTTCCTGCTCTGTTGCATCTCAGTGTCGACAGGTAAAGATTACCATCCTGGGGGAGGAGGGGGTTCCTGTGCAGGTGGATGGAGAGGCCTGGATCCAGCCGCCCGGCATTGTCCAGATCGTCCACAAGAACCGGGCACAAATGCTCACCAGAGACAGGGTAAAATCCAACTCGCATCTAAATAATCTGCTTGGTGGGAAAATTCAAATGTGTCGCAGTTTTTACTATGAAGTATAAAAGTGTGTGAAATGCATTTTTCTAGTTCTTCACATACATATAGAGGACACACAGAGTATATATGCACAACCTGAATATTGGCAGATGAAAGTCCACTCTCGCTCCCTGGCTTTGCCTCTCGACTCGTGTTGAGTCTTTCTATTGTGGGATTTCTTAAATCAAAATCATCCCCACTAAGTTTGTTCTGTCTTCACGCTGCTCAAACCTTTGAGCAGTTGGTTTCCATGGTTTCCCTTCTTAAGTACCACAGAGAGAGAAGAATGGTGGCTCGCTGGTTTCATGCCCCTGAAAAGTGGCTTTTATTCTGTCAGGTTGCGACAGTACTATTTCAGGTTAATGTGGTCTCTGTTGGTTGCCTGTTTAGGGATTTAGTATTGACAGGCAGTTTATTTAAACTGATATCTGAATGTTTTTTCATTTGTTTTTTTTTTCTCTGTTGCCTCATTTTTTACAGATAAACAGTTTCTCAGTCTGTGTAGGAGGTAAAATGCACCTGTGTTTACTGGAACTTCTAAATAATCAGGTTGCTCACCTCAATATTCAGTCTGTCTACAGAAACAGTCCTCTGGTTCTTTCATTTGCTTCCAGACATTTCTTTGAAGATGCATGCTGTGCTTGTCTGTGTTGAACAGGAACAAACACACAAGTCCAGTGAACAGATAAATGCCTCATACCTGAAACTTCTCCATCTCTGTACGCCCAGGCGTTTGAGAGCACGCTAAAGTCGTGGGAGGACAAGAGGAAGATCGACAGCTACCGTGCCACCAGGCCCCGCCTTAACTCCCAGCAGTCCATGGAGTACCTGACTGAGGAGGAGTGCGCTCAGGTTCAACAGCTGGGCATCGTGGCTGACACACTCATCAACAAGTAAGGAACAAACGAACAATTTGAGGTCACTTTCAGGTCACTCTGGGTCAACTTGGGAATGTTTGTTTGGAGGGCAGACTGCTGCATGTAGTAGTAGGTATATTTTTAATTAGAGGGTTTTAGGGTCCAAGGACACTAATGGAGAAACAGGCACGTGTTCTCAGTTAATTGTCTCTTAGGTTATGAAGCTTTATCAGTGGTCATAACTTTGGCCACGTTTTGAATGCAAACATGTACAGACGAACCGGAAAGTGATAAAACAGAGCCAGGCTTTTGTCCCCGCCAGTAGGCTGAGACAACTTGTTGGAATAATCACCATAATTATGCCTTTTCAGTCTGTTGAAATAATGATTACAGCTTTTTCAAGGCCATGATTTTGCTCCCTCGTTCGCCCCAGGATTCGTGAGACAGCCAAGACCCACAAACTGGTGGAGCAGGAACTGGCTCACGCCGTTAACGCTACTGCCCTGGTGCTCACTGAGGCCAAACTGTCCAGCCCTGAGGTAAGACACCGAGGTGGGAGGAGAGCAAGACAAACAGATGGCCGATCTGACTGACACAAGGCGGAAGTAAAATATGGAAATGTAAAATCACAGGCACTTAATTTTGCAGCCTGTTGATCTGAAATACATCATGGACGTCAGTACAAGGTCACAGAAGGCTTTCTTTTTTGATGGTATGGCGGTCCAGTGTTCAGTTAAATACGTATGAATTAATCTAAATAAAATTTTAAATGCCACTAAAGTGGTACATTTGAGCTTGTGAGTAGTTTGGTGTCGTAGTAAAACCAAGCATCAAATGTTTTAAGTGCCAAGAACGCTGCACTGTCTTGCACAGTCCAAGAGGACATGATGAAAAATCAAGCTGTTTATTTGTCTTGTCAGTGTTTGAGTCGAAGCACAGCAGTAGAGATCGTCAACAGCAGTAAAGTTCTCCAGGCTGAGACCAGGACCTTGCTCGATGGAAAACTACTGGTACAGCGCTACGGTTTCCTCCACGGCTTCTCTGTTTCCTTTGTTTCCTGGTCTCTTTGTCTCTGCAGAGCCATTCAAGCCTTGACATCTCACATTTCAGTTTCAGCTGCCTATCTGGCTCTTTGTTCAGTTTTTATCTGCTTTATATATATAGAATTGTTTATTCACAAACAATGGCATGTCAGTAATGTAGGCAGCGATGCTAGGAACATACTAATTCATTCATTCATTTCCCTTTCTGACCTTTTCATAACTGTTATTTTGGCTTTTTTTTATCTTTCTCAGTCTGTAACTAGTGTTTATAACTCATCAGACTTCACTTTCACTGATTTTATCTTTTGTGATTCTCAAGCCTTAAATGATGATCGTCAGTGATTTTGTTTCTGTAAACTTTCTTGTGACAGGAGATGAAGTGCAACAGTGATGATTAGACAAACGGAATGTAATAGCATAATATGCATATTTTTATTTTCAAAGAACTTGCCCTAGTGTTGTCAAATTTACAATGTAACACATTTACTATTTACACAGCAGTGAATTTGCACCAAATGTCCAACTAGATGATCAGATATCATGGCATAATTGGTTTAGAAATAAACTCTCGAAGCACTGTTTACACTATTAAACCTAAAGTGTTTCTCTTCCTCCTAAGTCGGAGTCTCTGGAGGAAGAGGAGCTTCAGTCCACTCTGAACAGCCTCAGCACCGAGCTCCACAAGTTGGACGATATCTACTGGATCTGTCCACTCATGCAGTGCTCTGAGGAGGTGGGGAAAGAAACTGCATGAATCTGTAAATCCACTGTTATCACAGTCTGTCGACGAACCAGCAAACTGCCAGTGTCGATTGTGTTGCTCAGGCCTAATGAGTAGCAGCCAGTCCACCTTTACTGACTGTTCCCATGTGTCCAACGACAGGACTCCGTGAGGGGCAGCAGTAAGAGCAGCAGCAGTATGAAGCTCAAGATCATACCCAAAGTGAAGAAGGAGCGAGAGAAGCTCCACAAGCAAAAGTCCAACAGTTCTCTCTCAGGTAAAACACCAGGACAAGGCCATGTTCAAAGTCAGGGGCGTACAGCATCTGATATGTGACCAAGCTTCATGCAAACAATATGAGTAGAAGGATACTTTATTGGCCAGTGTGGGGATGTCTGAGCCTGTTTCTGATTCCTCCATTTACTTTGGGCAGGTCAGCTGTCACAAACTGCTCATTGGTTTCTGTATTCATGCCTCGGGGCCACAGTATACAAACCATAGACGTTCCCCTTGTTGGGAACTAGAAATGACACCTAAACTATAAGTGTAGCAGGACTGAGATCCAGTCATTCATTTATGACTTGGTAAGAGCTACATAACACAGAGCCTCAGCTATTTTCAATTATTTTTCTGTTTGCACTGGGTATGTTTGTTGCCAGAGCTTGTCATCATGTTGGACTCTAATCAAACACAGTGTGACCCGTCTAACGCTGGGAGCATGGTAAAGCACAAAGCGCCATGAGCAAATGAACCACAAAGTCCTCAAAAAGAACAGCCGCCAGGCATAATTTACAGCTCCCATGCTTTAAGAGCTGAAATACTGAACTGTATCTATATGACATTGCTGCATCTGTGTCATCTTTTCTATAAGTTAAATTACTCATTTCTGTATTTCTTGCCATCAAAGAAAATGTGCTTAATGTGTCGTTTTCTTTCTCCTCCAGGAACCTGGGATATCAAAAGTGGGCCCGGTGAGGCAGATACCTCAGGCAATTGAGGTCCTGCATGCTTTGTCATTGCCTCTATTACCTTGAAAACCAGGGGTGACCAGCCCCAAGCCCCCCACCCCGCCCACCCCGGTTCTCCTCCCCTCTAACTGTGACGCCCGCTGGTTGGCATAGGTGTGAGGAAGGAAAGGAAAACCATCTTCCCAACTTTTATGCTGTTTGCTCCCTGTTTTACTACGTTGTCCTCCTTTTTGGAAAAGGGGAGATTTTTTTTTTCTCCTTTTTTTTTTTTAAATGAGTTTTTGCGTGTTGCATTGCTTCACCATCAGCGTTCTGCTAGTGGTTCCGTTTATTTGCTTTAGTTAGGAAGTGGTCACAGCCAGCAGCAAATCAAACTGAGGACACAGTGTGACAAGGCGTGCCACGACAACGTTCTTGTAAATGATTTTTTGACTACAGAAATGTGTTTTTGTGGTGCTCTTTGCATGTTGTGTGCAGCCATTTTATTTTGTCTAAGTTGTTACAGCCTTTTAATTTTTTCTCTCTACTTTTAATAATGGTTTTATTTCCGAACTTACCGTAAGAATAGCCATTAGACTGATTTTTTGTTTTGTTTTCTTGAGCCTTTTTAAGAGTATTTATTTCTTGTTGCTACTGCCATGAGAACTCTGACAGCAACAAAATGAACAAACTGAAACATCTCAACCATGTCATCTTCTGAACTGGAGAAAACTTAAATGTTGCAAAAAATATACTGAGGAATGTATTTGTGTGGACTTAACCTGTGAATAACTAATAATTTTAATGATAAATCATAGAGGATTTCACAAAGGTTCTACTGCTGGTTCTTAATAGGCTGTGTTATGACTTCTGTGGCCCGAGCCTATGCATATTGCTGGAGAAGTGATATTCTTTAGTCATTTCATCAGGATTTCAGCCTTTTGGACAGATCTGACTGTGGGATTTACTCAGTTATTATCCAGGTTTAAAATGTGCGAGTAAAAAAAAAAAAAAACTGAAATCCCACTGTGCATTTTCTTTTCTTTTTTTTTAAAGAACCATTTTGAGGTTAAGCACCAGATGAAATGACTCAAGAAGTGTGATATTTTTGGCAGTCTGTGATGAGGGTGTTTACAGGAGGAGGAAGCATCAAAGCCACATTAACAGAACATTAAAGTGAATTAGTATTTTTGCCATACTCATGATTATATATGTAATTTAAGAGTCAGTGAATATTTAATTTGCTTTGTCTGTGGTTAGAAGCTATTATTGGTACAAATATATTTTTTGTACATCTTATTTTCTCAATGGTAATCTGTGAAGCTGTCCTGGCTTTGCTGCTTCCCCCTTTGACAAACTCCTTGGCCACTGTGCTTATAATTGAAGCCGGTTAATGCTTTTGTGTGTCCCTGCATGCGTACTTAGCCTTCCTCCACCTCACAGTAGAGGCTGAAGTTGCCTCATAATGGTAAATTTTAGGCTGTTTGGTCCAACCAGTGGCATTTGTGTGTGCGTTTTTTTTTTCCTTTTTTTTTTTTTTTTTTTACTCGTTTGCTGCTCCAGATTGTTGGAGTTTTACTGCAAGAGAACACTTCAGAAACATGTTTAGCAAAAATGCATTTCAATGTCAGATTTGTCACCAAGCAGATTAACAACAAATATCTTTTCATTTGACCCATCTACAACCAAAACAAGTTTGTGGAAAAGGACCTAGATGCATGTGCCGCTGTTTGGAAATAGCTAAAATATTGACCTTTGCAGGTTCTAGAGGCAACTTCTGCCCAGGTTTTGCAGAAATGATCCTTAAAGTAATGCAGCAACAGCTTGGGAAATTTGATTATTTGATGTGATCCTGCAAGATTGTATCTCATCAGCTAGCATTAAATGAAGTGAGCCCCTTTGCGATGAGGTCAGGATTTGTAAGACTGAATGCAGTCAAAGAGAAGGTTCTGGTGTGTAATGTGTTAATACAGTAAACAATTTAGTTGCTGGGAGTTGATGGAGCTGCTTGGTTGAAAAACAATTCTTAAATAGTCTCTAATTTTAAAAGTTTTGCTTTATTATATAAAGAAATAGTCAAGACTGTGAAGGTAAAACCACAGTATTTTTTTTTTTTATGAAATACAATTTAGCTAAAGTTGTTTTGTCGTGATGCAACTCTACAAAAGGGACCAAAAGTAAAAAAAAAAAAACATTATTCAGAAATGCACTGACTCAGTTCTGACCTGGATGGATGATGATGATGAATATTATACCCACAAACAGGGCTTAAACTTGTAAGGATCATTTCTGTTCTTTTTCCGTTCAGGATTGGTTTTTGATTTTCTCAGTTATCAGTGAGTTGATCAAACTAACCCAAGCTAACTCTTGGTTGGGTGGAGTTACTGTGAGGTGTTGTAGATCCTACCACCTCAGTGGATAGGACTGTGCTACTGTACCCAGCGTGCCAGATATACGCGCTACACCTTAGAGGCTTTAGTGGTGTTGTGCCAAGTTTGTACTGAGCTCAGTGGGTTACGAGACGTGCGAGTGTGTGTGGGCCATTTGCGGCTAAGTGTGTCGTACATTTCAAAGTTTACTGTATCTTTGCCTTGCACTTTACAAAGAAG